GGTCAGGGGTCCCTTTATGCATATATCATAAATATAGCCACATATCACAGACCATCCAAGTGTCCCTATTTTCCAGGGACGGTCCCAGATTTAAAGAAGCGGTTCTGGTTTCTGATTTGATCCCGGGATGTCCCACTTTTCCTTAGGACATCCCAATTTTCATCAGAGAAATGTTGGAGGGTGTGCATATCAGAATAAAGTTTCCTTGCCCAAAATGCTATTTTTATGTTCTGGTTTTGTTTTGTTTTTTGTTACTAAGCAAATGAGAATGGCTTGGCTCTAGAGTGGTTTTCATAGGGCTCCATGGGATGAAGTGTGGGACAAATTAAAGGGAAGGCTATTGAAGACGGTGCAGAGTGCTGTTGGGAAAAGGACTGGCATTCTCCACCCCCATCAAATCTGACCGGCCTTTACCCAATAGCAGCATCAATTACCATTGTCCAAAATGTAACATTACTGGCTCGAACATCACAGTAGCTGTTAAGGTCATTTCTAATAAAACTATTAGCATGTGATCCCCTGGGCCTAGCAGAGTACAGCTCTGATTACTGAGCAAAAGTACCAAGGCGACTTAGTGTGCAATAGCCAGAGCAGAGAATTTAGCCTCTAATGATCCTGTTGATCCCTATCAACAGAAGGATACACAGCAGATTTATTTTTTCCTCTCTGAGAAGCGCTTAAAACTCTCGGGCCCACTATCTCCTTCTGAGCCATGCAAAAGGCAGATCAAGGCCCAAGTCAGAGGCTGTCAAGAACTGCTCCCCACCCAAAGGTACGAAAAGGTAACCATCAGTATGACATGTTTTCAGACCTGCCAAGTGTCCCTGTTTTCCATAGACAGTCCTGGATTTACAGAAGCCATCCCAGTTTCTGATTTGATCCCAGAACGTCCCGCTTTTTCTTAGGGTGTCCCTATTTTCATCAGAGAAATGTTGGAGGGTATGGAGTTATGTGACCCCTGAGCCAAGGAGATAAGTAACTTTCCAAGCTTTGGAAGACATCTGAAGGCAGCCCTGTATAAGGAAGTTTTTACAATGTTTAACGTTTTATTATATTTTGATATACTGTATGTTGGAAGCCTCCAATGTGGCTGGGGCAACCCAGTCAGATGGGTGGGGTAATAATAATAATAATAATAATAATAAATATAATAATAATAAATGTCCCTATTTCCATTGGAGAAATGTTGGAGGGTATGGGTTTTGAAGTTCTGCCTTAGAAATACCGTATTTTTCGCCCTATAGGACGCACTTTTTCCCCTCCAAAAATGAAGGGGAAATGTGTGTGTGTCCTATGGGGCGAATGCAGGCTTTCGCTGAAGCCTGGAGAGCGAGAGGGGTTCAGGAAGCTATCCGCAAGCCTTGGGAGCCCACATCCCGAAGCCTGGGCGCGCTGAGTAGTCACGCCCGGGCTTCGGGTAGCTCTGCGCAAGCCGCCGGAGCCCTCCCACGGCTTGCGCAGAGCTGCCTCTACACCCGAAGCCCGGGCGCGCTGAGCAGTCGCGCCCGGGCTTCGAGTAGCTCTGCGCAAGCCGTGGGAGGGAGAGCTCCCACAGCTTGCGGAGAGCAGCCTGTTCTGCGGGCTGGGGAAGCTCCGGCTTCCCCCGACCCAGCCCCGCGCCTGGGGGGGAAATAATTTTTTTTCTCTTTATTTCCCCCCCAATATACTAGGTGCGTCCTATGGGCTGGTGCGTCCTATGGGGTGAAAAATACGGTAAGTCATACCATCTAGCTTTGGTAGCAACCGGGCACCCAGCATATTCTACAGGACGAGCACAAGCTCATCTGCTGCTAACATTCCAAACACTGACAAGGAAGAATAAAGATGGACTTTTCCCAGTAGTGATGTATGGAAGTGAGAGCTGGACTTTAAAGAAGGCTGATCGCCGAATAATTGATGCTTTTGAGTTATGGTGCTGAAGGAGACTCTTGAGAGTCCCATGGACTGCAAGAAGATCAAACCTATCCATTCTCAAGGAAATCAGCCCTGAGTGCTCACTGGAAGGACAGATCCTGAAGCTGAGGCTCCAATACTTTGGCCACCTCATGAGAAGAGAAGACTCCCTGGAAAAGACCCTGATGTTGGGAAAGATGGAGGGCACAAGGAGAAGGGGACGACAAAGGAAGAGAGGGTTGGACAGTGTTCTCAAAGCTACCAGCATGAGCTTGACCAAACTGCGGGAGGCAGTGGAAGACAGAAGTGCCTGGCGTGCTCTGGTCCACGGGGTCACAAAGAGTTGAACACGACTAAACAACTAAACAACAACAACAAAGGGACTAGCAGTAAGCACAGAGGAAATACATTAGGACAGCAATAAAAAGCCTTACATGTAAGAATCAGGAGCAAGACACTGATGCAAAAAGCAACTTTTTTTTGCACACACTCTCATGGTGTTTCTTTTATGCATCTGTTACATTTGTACCGGGCATCCCATTCACACAGTTCACACATGCAAAAGATTTCTGCTTGCACTGGTCTCTCAGATGTTCACAGTGCTTGTGGAAATGGCTAGGTGCCCAGCAGCCTGCAAGGATATCAGAATCCCCACTACTGATATGGGGAATGTCTAAGGAACTGTCAGGCAGCAGAGGAACCAACTCCCATGGCAGGTTGCCAGGAACGGACGAGACAAGGAAAAGTCCCATCAGCTTTTATTCAATATTCACAGAGAGAGGCTCAGGAATGCAGCCTCTCGGAATAATGGTGTTGTCCTGAGTGACTCTCCATCCCCTTTTTCTCCCACTTCCTCATTCATCATCTCCTCTATGGGTGGTGCTGAGGACCATCCCCTCTCCTCCCTCCACCCCACGTGCACCCCCAAATTCGCTTGTGGGGGCGAGAGAATCCCCAGAACAGTGCACAGAGGGAGGGGAGGGGAGTGGGGATAATTCCATCTGGCAAGCTGATATGCTTGTGCAGGCAAAACATTTGCAATAGTGTGACATTGAATTCCACCCTAAGAGTTATTTATTATCAGCAGCTTGCAGAAAGCCACATCTGACCATGTGTGGTAAGCATTGCATTCAGACAGCTAGGCAAAGAAGTGTTCAAAATGTCAGCTGTTTACTTCTTTGGGTTCATGGTTGACACAGGCAGACAGGCAAGCTCAGACAGACAGACAGAACTAGCTAGTAATTCCTGAAGACCCTAATGGCTCTGAGCTGTACTGTAGAATATTGAGAACCTGCTGCCCTCCCAAGGTTGCTGGACTCCAACTCCCATAAGTCCCAGCAAACATAAACACTACCCAGGGATGATGGGAGTTGCAGTCCAACAATATCCAGAGGACCATGGGTTAACCATCCCTAATCTGGGGCAAAACTAAGAATAAATCATTTTCATTTTATTTTACTGAAAATACATGTATTCTTCTCATTAGCTGACTAAGAGAACTCTGCCACCAAGTAGTCGTCAAACCCGACTGAGACTCTTGTAAGATAGTGTTCTTAAAATAAATTTGTCTTTAAGGTCTGAAGTGGTAATTTAATTAAGAGTATGATTATAAGACGAAACTCAAAAATAGTTAACAAGAGAAAGATCTTGTCATCTTGCGAGACACCAGCTGAGATAGCCTTTAGCCTCTGGTTTAGCCATCTGATAAAAATAATTCCAATAGAGAATGCACACCATAATTAAACTATCCTTCTGTGACATATCCCCAACAGCTAAAAATATGGAGATTTCGGCAATTAAAGGGCTCGTTCCGCAGATGCTGTCCAGACAATGTGATATATGGATGCCCAGGTGATGTGGGCGGTGCAGCTCTGAGAAACTCCCAAGCATACTTATAGGAAGCAGGATTTTGTCCGGTTACAACCCACTTTAGATACTTAGAACCCTAAAGTGCAGCAGTCTTCTTCAGCCCACTTCCTCCTAGCCTTGCTGTGTTGAGCAGCAAGGTCTGAAGGGGGCTTGTAAGTATGTTTGCCTAAATGTACCTTCATGCTTCCCCACAATGCAGAATCTTAACCACACAGGTTCCCAGTCATGGGAAGAACTGCCAGAAAAAAGAAGGTAAAGGCAGTGTTTTTTTCCTAAATAAAAAATAAAAAATGCTTAGGGGTACTCTCATTTTCCTACACATATTGAAATACCGCAATGAGGCCAAACCTAGATTCACAATATGTTTAGGGGTATGTGTACCCCTGCATCCCCCCAGAAAAAAGCACTGAGTAAAGGACCCCTGGACAGTTAAGACCAGTCAAAGGCGACTATGGGGTGTGACGCTCATCTCACTTTCAGACCAAGGGAGCCGGTGTTTGCCCACAGACAGCTTTCCGGGTCATGTGGCCAGCATGACTAAACCGCTTCTGGCACAACGGGACACCATGACGGAAACCAGAGTGCATGGAAACACCGTTTACTTTCCCGCCGCAGCAGTACCTAATTATCTACTTGCACTAGTGTGCTTTCGATCTGCTAGGTTGGCAGTAGCTGGGACAGAGCAATGGGAGCTTACACCATCACAGGGATTCGTACCGCTGACCTTCTGATCGGCAAGCCCAAGAGGTTCAGTGGTTTAGACCACAGCGCCACCCATGTCCCGGTTCCCAGTCATGGGAAGAACTGTGAGTATGTTGAGGCAAACACACCTGCAATACCCTTTTTGATTTTACGACTCAATGTGGTGAGGTCAAAGGAGCAACGTGGCAAACAGGGCCCTGCACCTCCTACTTGCTTATAACTTTAACACCCTTAGACAACTGGTGAGACGGAGCCCTTCAGCACAGGCAACAAGCATTTTAAGCACATCCAATTGACCTGCAACCAGGCGCATTATGTTGCCCCCAGAATTGGCTGGGAAAGGGGGCGAGGCAAGGGGCAGGGCAGGGATGAAGCAGGCTTAAACATGCTCGAGCCAGGAATGCAAGCCCCATACAAAATGGTCGTTGCTTGTTATCTGGTTTTGGTAGAATGCCCCTCTCTATCTGCTCTACTGAAAGCAATGGAAGATGCAATAATTAAAGGGATCCCCCCAAGGAATGGGTTTAGAGCAGGCATCCCCAACCTGCGGCCCTCCAGATGTTTTGGCCTACAACTCCCATGATCCCTAGCTAACAGTGGTCAGGGGTGATGGGAATTGTAGTCCCAATTGTAGTCCAAATTGTAGTCCAAAACATCTGGAGGGCCGAAGGTTGGGGGTGCCTGGTTTAGAGTACTAGGCACATCAAGTTGATGGATTATGCCAAAATGGCCATAATGACCAGAAGAATCAGGAAGACCAAAATTTTAATATGGAATGGCGAAATTTTATAACTTATTTTAAAAACCATTGTAAAATTGTTAGTAGGATTGGAATAACACTTGCAGTTTATTGGTGGATTTTGGACACAATGGAGAGGTAAAAGATTTCGATTATCATAAAAGATGCAGGAGGAAATGATTAACAATAGGACCCACAAAGGGAAGGAGGGAAGTCCAAAAAATTCCTTGGAATCTTGTTTTTATGTTTGGATATGTGATTGTAAAATTTTAATGTGAAAAACCAAATAATTTTTTTTAAGAGCTGGAGTACTATGCACTTTCTGAGATGTTATCGTTATGAAGAACACTTGATTTGCAGCTTTTTATTATTATTGCACAAAGATGAAGTGAAAATTATTATAATTTTAAAATGAAGTGAATAGAGGTAGTCAAATGAAACCTATTCATTTTGTTGTTGTCTTTTTGCTATTGTCATCGCAATTATCAATCTCATTTTTATCCTGCCCTTCCTCTAACCAGTGATCCCAGGGTAGGTTATGTAACACAGAGAAACAAAACAATATGGCCCATCAATAAAACATTAAAAATGTAAGATTCATAAATATTTCATCCATCCCATCTCTGTAAATCCCAGTGACCTAGATATATTGAACTCCTACACCATTAAAAAGCCTGGAAGAAGAGATTCTGCAATCATAGATGCTTTCTTGATTGCCACTATAAATGCCTTATTCCCCATCCAAGGGGAATCCAAGGATTGCTGGAATGTGTAACATGAAAACTTTGCCAAGTGTGTGAAGAGGAAAGTTCTGTATGTGTGGCTTGTACTGTGCACATGGGAAGAAATAAACATGGGTTGGCTACACTGCACATATTGAAAAGCAGAATGTGGTATATACTATACCTGTCAACTGTCCCGATTTGACCAGGACACCCAGGAATTACAGAAGCCATCCCAGAATCTGAATGGATCCTGGAATGCCCTGTTTTTGGTAACACAGGAGTTTTGTGCTGTATTTTCCTAGCTGTTTTCATGGATCATGCCACCACTGCTCAGGGGACAAAATCGGGGGTGGTGTTCTAGCCTCATGGAGGAACAGAAGCTTGAATGTGCATAAAAGGTGTCTCCTGTTGTGTCACACGACACCCACTGGTGTGAAGGAAATTTAGTGCGACATGGAAGTATATCGATCAAAAAGTCACAATTCTATGACACAAGAGGTAATAGAGCAAAAGGAACATTTAAGTCTTCAACAGGAAAGCCAATACAATAGACCCCATGTCTGAATACACCCTAGGCCTCTACTGCAACCACACCATATTTCCAACACCTTTCCTCACTTATGATATGACCAGTGCTTTTTTCCCTGGGGGTACGCATACCCATAAACATTTTGTGAATCTACGGGAGAAAAAACTATTTTATTTTATTTTTTAAAAAATTAGTTTCTTCTCTAGCACGGGGAATCGTCAGTTCCATTGCTACTCCCGATGGCGGCCTCATTTCCTGTCACACTGTTTCCTGAGTCTCAGACGGAAGCAAGTGTTTAATGTGTGAAGCAGTGTGGGATGTGGATGTGTGTTGTTTTAATGATGAAAGTTTGGCCTCGTGTGAGCCAGTGTGGTGTAGTGGTTAAGAGCAGTAGTCTCGTAATCTGGGGAACCGGGTTCGCATCTCCGCTCCTCCACATGCAGCTGCTGGGTGACCTTGGGCCAGTCACACTTCTTTGAAGTCTCTCAGCCCCACTCACCTCAAAGAGTGTTTGTTGTGGGGGAGGAAGGGAAAGGAGAATGTTAGCCGCTTTGAGACTCCTTAAAGGGAGTGAAAGGTGGGATATCAAATCCAAACTCTTCTTCTCCTCGTTGAGAGGCAGTATTTCAATATGAGTAATGCATGTTCTTTGTACCTTTTTCTATTTACTGTATTTATTTTTCCCAATTTGAACTATAAAATGGTGGTCAAAATGAGAGTACCCCTAAACATTTTTTTAGGAGGAAAAAAGCACTGGATATGACAGCAATTAAAAATCTGCTTTGTCGTCCACAAAGACCTTCCAGTGACTAGTTTTGTTTTGTTTGTTTTTCTTTGGTATGTCTAGTGTTGTTGTATTATGATATACTAGTACTGCTGTTCTTTCTACATTTTAACAATAAAAGGTATTAATCAAAACAAACAAACAGAACATACGAGTTCTAATTAGAAAGGAAAAAATCCCTACCTCCATCTTTCTCTATTGTAGTACGAAACCAAGTATAACATGAGTTTGAGTAGGTTGTGCATAATTTTGCTCCAAGAATTATTTTGCCATTGTGTAAACAAACTCTTCATTTTGGTACTACAATCCACAAAGCCATTTTACTCTATGACCACCATTTTGACTCAGTACATAAAAAAGTATCATTTTGCCTCTAATCGAAGAATCCAGCAATTCTTAATAACTACCCTGAACAAGGGATCAGTAGAGATCCACCGCTAGTTCACCTATAGAGTGCAATGATCTCCAGCTCAAATACCACACACCTGTGGATACAGGTGTAACATGAATATTTATATAAAGCATGATTAGGGACACATGCAGGCTTAATAACAGAGCACTACCCATGTGTCAACAATTTCTGATTTTACTTTAATGGTCAAAAATAAATTTACCACTAGGAAGGTGACCAGGCTTCAGATACTGCCACAGTGTTTCTCAAATTTGGGCTTCCAGCTGTTGTTGGACTACAACTCCCATCATCCCTGACGACTCATCCTGTTAGCTGGGAATGATGGCAGTTGTAGTCCAACAACAGCTAGAGACCCAACACTAAATCACCGTTCAGTGCAACATGAATGAGCCAGGATGGGCTTCAGGCATGCATTCCATTCCCTTCCCTAATATAATTAGGAGGAGGAGACTATAAGCATCTGCTTCTGGATTTAAACTAAACAACAAGGATAAACTGAAATTAATAATTATGCAAGCAAGCCATGGTGATAAATTCATGGTTTCCAATCCTGTGTTCAACTGCACATCACTTTGAATTCCACTTTGGTAGACTTAATTGGTAGAATTAATGAACGTGATTAATGGATGTGGTAAGTCAATCATGAAGCATCAGATCATTTCTGAAATTGAGGTACTTCTGACCTGGAAGCTTCCATTTCTGAATCTCAGATACGAGTAACATCACTGTGGTTATTCAGTGGTGATAAAATACTCTGCACATGGCCAGAGCCGCTCTCTCCTATATTCACAACAGCCTTGAAGGAAGCACTCTAGGAAGGCATGGCTTTGTGACTGAGGGCCCCAAAGAATGGCTTACGGTCAGACAGAAGTTTTTTTAGATGTGCAGAGACACAAACATGACCGCACCGAAGTAACACCTTAATGTTCTGGAGCATTACTGAGATGTATTTCATTCTTGTATCCTTCCATCTCATGAATTTATCAACACCTCATCAACAATTTAGTGCACTGCTAATGATCCTTAAGACCAACTGATTTTCACACTTAATGGTGTTAGGTACGTAACAGTGTACCTAATTGTAACAGCAAGCTATGTGGCAAATATTAGGTACTCTAGGCAGGAACTGCTTTTTACTGAGACACCATTGTCCAAAACAAAACATCTCACCAGAATGTCTGCCACTCTGGTATGTTCGTAGTGCCTATCGCCAATGTTTAAAGCAGAGACTCTGTTGTTTTCCATCGCACCTGGCTGACTCCTTCCTAACGTTATGCAAACATTACCCAAGGCTTGTGCAAAATAAATGACAGCGCAGAGAAATGTGTCAGCCATTATGTGATCGGGAGCATCCCACCTACAGCTGCAAATGTTGCTGCTAATTAATCTGTCGTGGCATTACACGGAAAAAGGGATTTGGGCCAAAGGAGCACAGAACACGTAATCCATATGCCTTTTACTCAGTGTCACGATTATCTGAAGGTCCCTGGGAGCGGCAGCCGGGTGGGATCTCATTTTAGCATCCTTGTTTTGACATTGTTTCCTTGGCACAACACTCAATTAATAATGCTTTACTGTAGCATCATTAGGGGGGCTGGAGACCGTGACAGCATCCGACTTCCTGGGAGGATCGGGTTTTCCACAGCACTCAGATGCCACATTTCAGATTATGTTTTTTTTTTTTTAAATTGTCTATTCTGATAATCACTCAGGTCTTAGAAAATGACAGCTACAAGATGCAAAAAACCAACCACCACCCCTCCTGCTTTTTACCAGAAATAGAAAACATCCAGTTTCCACATAGATGAAAAGTACATGTTATTTCATGAGCAAAAAAAACAAAAACAAAAAACACTACCAAGCTTCCAATATAATGCAGAGATGAAGAACACCACAATTTATCCACTTCTCTCTATCAAAACCACTTCTGCCTAATGTAAACCGTGCCAACACTTCAGTAGCTAAAACCCTGGCGTTAACTGAATTACCTGTGTGACTTGATGAGGAATGTTAAGCAGCCAGGGATTGGCAAAATGATAATGAACACATTTTGTTCCCCCATATGGAGCACCCTTAACACACCTTCTGAATTTAAGTGGTCTGCCACAACGCTTCGGGTACCACTAATTTCCGTTGCAGAGGCCCCCCCCCTTTGCCAGGAAGGCTGTTAGCAGAAAACTGCTACAATGCTAATTTCAATTATGTAAAGGAAAAAGGAATGTTTACCCAGATTACTTGCAGTGTAATGGTCATGATTAAATGGCTATTACATTGTAGCCAAAGGTTCTCCAAGCCTATTCCTAGGCTCTTAAAACATATTTTTACAACAAACATGGTCAAAAAGCCCAGACTGCTATGTTTAGCTGATTTGCCACAATATTATTCCAATGGGACCTTCCCCATGCATGGAAACATGCCTACATGCCTATGAAGGTAAAAGCACAAATCCTGTCACTAATGCTGAATCCTATCCACCAACAGAACAAGCAAG